GGTGCTATAGGACCTGTCCTCAGTCTGGCAGAGGCACCTGAGCTTTGACTGAAACTAGCTGCAGGGCATGCCCCAAGAGTGTGTGTGTGTGTGGGGGGGGGGAATCCTTAGTAAAGCAGTGGAGCACTTCTTTCAGAGGGTGGGAGAGTGTTTGACTTAACTTGTGTCTCTGGGTAGGGCCCAGCCTCAACCAAAGTTTAAAGGCTGATTGTTGGGGCATTAAGCTGGACCCCTTATTTGGTATATGGAATTGTTTATGGTTATGGTAGATCAATGTCCACTGTAAACTCCATGATAGGAGAATTGGTATGGCATAATTTGGAGTATGGAATAGGGTAATATGAGGCTGTGTTCAAACTATGCTACCAACTAAACTGGGACCTCAGTATAGTATTTTAGAGTGTTTGAAATCACTATTTAGGAACTCAGTATTGACCAGAGTCCCAAGAATACCCAGCCCAGGATTAGAGTTGTCTCATCCTGAATTCAGAAACAGGTAGTGGACTCTCCCTTTAACTGGAGATCTGGTTAACACAGTTCAATGCGTACACATCCCACTGGTAGCAAACCTGTCTGCTGGCACACAGGAGAATCTACTGTAAACATACCCAGCTCATATCTTGTCAGTGCTCCTTGTGGATAAGATTATCAGCAAAAAGAATAGGATCTTGCCAATTTAGGGATACACTCAGAACACATTGTATATCCATATGCAAAAATATGGCCATAATCCCGTTGGAAGTTTTGGATCTGCAACAGGATTGTATGGAACAGTTATATCAATTTGGAACTGGGTGGACACAGAAAAGTTGTAGATGTGTTGGCTACATATTGAAGGAGGAAACTAACAAGCTGGTAAATCCAATATTAAGGGGATTTCATGTATTGTTTACTTGAGGAAAATTGCTATTTAAAATGTGTACAATAGTCCACTTGTTTCCCAGGCAAAAATTAATCAGCTAAATTGTTCATAATAATGAGCAAGAGAGAAATATAGTGGAAAGGAAGCTATTTGTTCTGCATGTGGAGATGTGTTAAGCACCATAACATCTGTTTTTCAATTTCTTGAACTAGGCAAGATTCCAGACTTGATTAAGGATAATGTCGTAAGTGTTCTTGGGGCAATGGAAGGGAAGCAGAATTGTTGTCATAATTTGGCATATGGGCTCTGTGACTCCACATTATTTAACAAGAAGTTGCATACTAACAAAATCCATTACATCTCATTCACATTCTCTTTGCCTGTGTTTGATGAGAATGTGTATAGCTAATGAGTTTTCATCCATTCAATAGGTCATCTCCAAAGATATTTACTGAGTAGGGATAAATGGGTAATTGATGAAAATGTCATTGGTTACATAATTACCCAGTTACATGCACCTGCAGTTGGCTACTATCTACCAGCCCTGCTCCTGGGAGCTGGCTGCTGCTTCCGATACAGAAGCAGCAATGCAGGGTGGCAGCCAGCTCCCCAAGTGGCTTTGAGGCAGCAGCCACCTCCCCAGGTGTGGGGCTAGCAAGCAGTAGCCAGCTACAGTTACTCAATTACCCTGCCTCTGGGGAATTGGCTGACACCCTGCACTGCTGTGTCTGATACAGAGGCAGCAGTGAGTGCAGAGTTGCAGCTGGTTCTCTGCTCCTATGCCCTGCAGCCTAACATGCCCTTAGGTACATAGCTCTTTTTTCAGTCCCTGTGTTAAAAAAACAAGTTATTTTTTCTAGTCCTATCAGGATCTAGCTATGCAAAGTACCAACTTTTCATGTGTATAGCTGCCATTTGACTTAAAATTAAAACACCTTATGGGAAGGAAAAGTACAGATTTAACAAAGAGTTCAGTAGCTGAAGCAGCCCAAACATGTAGTAGGTTAATAGATGGAAATGATGGCTGTATGGCATGATATTTTAAAAGACTGTTTGAAGCTAAAACTGTACTTGAAGGGATGCCTTTTGTATGCAACTGCAGTGCCTGACTTAATTGGGGTGACACTGCTGTTTCAATGGAAGATCTAGACTGCTTAAATGGGGGTGAGGAACCTTTTGTTGGGGTGGGGGTGGCTGACCAACAGAAAAATCAATCCAGGGGAGGAGGAGGCTGCACAGAAGTGAGAAGCAAAACCAAAACCCTCAGTGAGGCAGCCCCCCACTCAGGAGAAGAAAGACATTCTCTACAGTCCCCTTCACACACCAGTGCCTTGGGGTGGGGCCCAGGCTAGTAGATTTTGCATGCTCCCTGTGGGCGGGGGGGGTGTAGCACCAGAATGTTCTCCCCAATGCTAAGGGGAATCCAGGCAAGCTGGGCGGGGGGGGGGCTTAGGCTCCCTACTGTGGCTTAGATCTTGACCTCACTCTTATATTTGGTAAAAGCAACAAATAGTCTGGTAGCACTTTATAGGCTAACCAAACATGTCGATGGTATCATGAGCTTTTGTGGGCACAGCCCACTTCTTCAAATGACCGGAGTTATGAGTTGGGGATATGAAAACTGGAAGTAAATAGGAGAGGGGAGAGGCGATCACACGAGCGATTTCATTGAAACACTTTCCAGAGTCCAATGGAGCGATCAAGTGTAGCAGGAACATGCAAATTCCCATTGTCCGGGACAGGCTGGGGGGGCACGCC